TAGAGTAGTTTGGAGAACCAGTAAATATCACCTCTGACTGGCCCCGCCCCCATCTATTCTCTGCCTCCTGAGTCCCAGCTGATTGGGAGGAAATGGGGATTTTGCAGTATCCTTCCCCTGCCACATCCACCAAGCCATGCCCACAGAAATTGTAGTAAAAAAATTTGAATCCCCCCACTGATAGACATACACATTGTCAGTCCTGGAAAAATCTTGCTAACTATTCGGGGACCAGTTCTGCAGTATGTAGTTAGTATCAATAAATGTATAAAATAAACATTGAAAAACAAAGATATTGTTTATTTTTCGTATCCTGCTCTTAATATTTTTATTCAAGGTAATGAACATATCCACAACATAACACAACTTTCTCCTCTTATTTACAACCACCACCTTGCGAAATGGGTTGAGTGACTGGCCCAAGGTCACCCAGCTTTCATGGTTAAGGAGGGACTTGCTTGGTATCTTAACCACTAAACTTGTTGCTTCAATCACTAGAGTCATTCTAAGTGGTTTTTCTTATTTTTAGGGACTAGGATACAGATAGTCCTGGACTTACAATAGTTCATTTAGTGATCATTCAGTTACAATGGCTTATGACTGTTTTTCACACTGTTACAGCAGCCCCATGGTCACATGATCAAAATTTGGACTCTTGGCTCATATTTATAATGGTCACAGAATCCCAGGGTCATGTGATCTCCTTTTGTGACTTTCTGACAAGCAAAGTCAACAGGGATGTCAGATTCACTTAACAACCATGTTACTAACTTAAGAAATGTAGTGATTCATTTAACAACTGGCAAGAAAGGTTGTAAAATGGGCGAAATTCACTTAACAACTGTCTCGCTTAACAACAGAAATTTTAGGCTCAATTGCAGTCCTAAACTGAGGACTACCTGTATAATTAAGCAAATGAAGAGGGAAAGAAAAAAATTGTGAGCAATGTATACTCTATACATTTATATTACAAAATATTAACATTAACCCATTAAGCTGTGATATGTTGCTTTGTTTTAATCAAGATTTGACATGTGTCACATTTTACGTCTTATATATCCTTCTCCTTCCAATTACTAGGATAGTTATTTTAAAACTAAGAGCATTGTATCTGCTTTATCCATTTTTAAAGCAAAGAAGAAGCAGATTGGGAAAAATTGTTCTATACAGATAAAATCAGCCTTTCAGAAATTGAATGGGATTGGGGGAGGTAGGGAGGTAGGGTTAATTATAATAATGAAATTGAACATGGTTTTCTTTTGTGAAGATCCATGTATAGATAAGTGCTTTTAAAATCAGGCTACCAAAGCGAATAAGCAGAAGATAAAAAGCATTGATAAAGGCAAAGATGAAAGAAATTGTGAAACAGTTGTCCAAACAACCTGACCATTGTGCTGGGGAAATTATGGGAAGGCTACTAGTTGTTACCTATTTAAGGAGGTATTCAGAGCAATAAAACTAGGAAATGTTCCAATTAGGACAGGATATGCAATTTATCTAACATGGCTTGTGACTAAAAAAAAACAGTAGTAGTTCAACCATAGAACATTTGGCATTGAGTTATCTAGAGGCAGAGCTTTATCACCACAAGATCTGCAACAAGATCCTAATATTATAGCAGTAGCCTTGTTTAGCTTTGCTTTAAAATAAGGAAAGTCTAATGAGATTATGATTTTGTTTAAAGCCTTTCAATACTAACTGAACCCTCAAGATGGTCTATAGAAACGTTTTATTATAATAAAAATGATTGAGCCAGAGTAAATCTAGCTCTTTCTTCATGTACCCAACCTTCTTTAGGAATTGTGGAAAGGTTTCCCAAATCAATCCTAATCCTGGCACACACATACCATTAAGTCAAGCTGGTTGACGTTTTCTGAATAGTTTTTATCCCAGAGCTATAATTGCACTCAACAATGAACTAAAGGACCACCCTCAGTGAGCTGTTGGACAGCAGCTCGAGTCCTAACCAAGGACCTAGGAACTATTAAGGTATCATTGGAGGATGTAAGCTGTTGCTACTTATCTTCAATCCGTGCATCACCAGGTATTGCAATGTCATTATGTTATTGTTGTTGTTGTTGTTGTTGTTGTTGTTGTTGTTGTTATTATTATTATTATTATTATTATTATTATTATTATTATTAGTTAATCTTTAGTGAGATACACAGCCTTTGAGCCTGGTTAATAGCTCAGCAGCTCGAGTCCTAACCAAGGACCTAGGAACTGTTAAGGCATCGTCGGAGGATGTAAGCTGTTCCGAGTAAGGTGGTTTTTTGTAGAGTCAAAATGTTCAAGTCCGGCAAATTTAGAATTTCTAAATAGCGGGGTAGCCCTTTGGGTATTGCTCCAAGGGCTCCAATTACAATCGGGACAACACACGATTTCTTTTTCCACAGTCGCTCAACTTCAATTTGCAAGTCCCGGTACTTTGTGATTTTTTCTTGCTACTTATCTTCAATCCGTGCATCACCAGGTATTGCAATGTCAATGAACCATACTTTTTTCTTTTCAACTATTGTTATGTCAGGTGTGTTGTGGACCAAGTGCCTGTCAGTCTGAATCCTAAAGTCCCACAAGATCTTGAGTTTCTCATTCTCTAAAACTTTCTCAACCTGATGTTCCCAGTGGTTTTTGCTGTACTCAAATCCAAACTTCTGGCACAATTTCCAGTGAATGATCTTAGCAACACGGTCATGGAGTTGTAGGTAGTCAGTTTGTGAAATTTTGCTGCACCCACTGATCAGGTGGTTGACTGTCTCATCTTTCTCATTGCAGAGGCAGCATTTGCTGTTGGTGGTAACATGTTGAATTTTTGCCTTCATGCAGTTTGTGGCTAGGGCTTGTTCTTGAGCTGCCAAAATAAAGCTTTCTGTTTCTTTTTTCAGTACTCCTGATCTTAACCACCCTGGAAAATGCCTCGTTTAATTTCAACTTCACCCAGTTCTTCTTCATTAGCCATAAATTTCGTTTTTATTATTATTGTTATTGTTGTTGTTGTTGTTGTTGCTGTTATTATTATTATTATTATTATTATTATTATTATTATTATTATTATTATTATTATTAATTCCTTATGCTATTCCTTAGCTCCCTCAACCCTTGCTAGTAATTCTTAAGAATTGTGGCACAAAGTACAAGCTGATGTTCTTACTGGTCTGTTGTTGTTTTTTTAAAATACATAGTTTATAAAATTGCTTAGCTGGCTCACTAAAAGATTATATAAAATAGGCAGATAACATTAACAAAAGTAGTGTATCATTCTGCACCAGTCTGGTTAATGAAAAACAGTCTTAATTTGCAACCTTTGAACAGTAAACATCTAAAATGAAAACTAGGGATCTTACTAAACACATAAATTCATATAAACCATACTAGCCTACTTCCAATTTCTGAAGAAGAAACTCGTAACCTTAACTGCTCAGAGTTACCCAGGCCAGCCAGTCATAATTCCATCTCCAATGTGAATAGAAGGAACATACTTGCTGGTAAACTTATTATTTTCAGTGCCATTCTGTTATGACTAATCACAATATGATTCCGTCACATATCCAATGAACTTTACATAAATGCAAATAGTAAATAGTAACACAACAGTGCCCCAGTGCAGACAGCAATACACTCATGGTGATAAAATCTAGTGTCTCCTAAAAACCATTCTGCTAACTGTGACCAGAAGTCATTTAGGAAGCTTTACTTATGGCCACCTATGGAATAATTTTGTCATTGTGTCAACTTAAATGATCAGTTTGTAAAACCTCCCATATCAGATTTAATCCCCTTTTAGGGTTGTATCACATCCACCCTCCTGTTGGTTGGATGGATATGAAGAAGAAGAAGCTATCTTCTCTTGCCTTTATTTTCTCTTGTTCTCGTTTTAGCCCATATTGAGGGGTATATAAGTATATAAATTCTTCTCCTCTAACCCTGTTTCAAGAGTAGAAGAATATGGGAACATAGGATCCTGTGAATCTTCAGTATTTTTCAGTCTATCCATGCAGGCTGAGTGATTGTCACCCATCTCCTTTTTCTCTTCCTGATGTTGGAATTAAAAATCCAAGAAGAAAAAACTGTGGTTGAGTCTGCAAGGATTGGCAGATTAAATCTTTCCCTCAATTGAAGGAGCTTCTCTCTGGCTTCAAAGAGGAGATCTGAGAAATAATCCAGGATTATTAACTTGAATTTAAATGAGGTAACTGCACAATAAAATTCAGTTGGAGGGTGTAGAGGGAGCAGAAAGAATGGTGAAGGAATGCAAGATCATTAGCAGATAAAAGGGATAGTAAATGAAATCTCAGCCTGAGAACATTGTAAACATAATAGACTTAAAATAACCTCACCTTGATTCTGTTGAGCTTTCAGAGGTCTATTCTCATATGCTAAAACAATAAAGTAATTTCAGTAGTCCTCATCTAGCCTACCTTGAAGGACTGATATTAGTTTTGAAAGCCTGCCAGAATTTCTGTCTTCTGTGATACCATGCGGAATGAAAGCAGAGTTACTGAACCTGGTGGCTCAGCGGATTGATAGCATTGTGATTAACACCAGCTGCCAGCAATTACTGTAAGTTCAAATCTCACCAGGCTCAAGGTTGACTCAGCCTTCCATCCTTTCTAAGGTAGGTAAATTGAGAACCCAGTTTGTGGGGGCAATAAGCTGACTTTGTATAAATATACAAAAGTATGAAGACTATTGCTTAACGCATTGTAAGCCGCCCTGAGTCTCCGGAGAAGGGCGGTATATAAATCAATTTCTTTTAAAAAATTATTTCTTATACTTACTACATTCCCAGGACTGAGATTTCATTTACTACCCCTTTTATCTGTTAATGGTCTTGCACTCCTTCACCAACATTATTCTGCCTCCCTCTACTTGGGTAGGGGTAGCAGATACTAACACTGTTAACATATAATACTGTATGGGAAACCGGAATATAGTAAGTATGGAAGATAATATTAAGACAGTGTGGAAGGTTATAATAAAAAGATAGCAAAGATAACACAAACATTCCAAGGAGGTTTTATTTGGAAATGATCTACATCATTTCCTGATTTTTTTTCTTTATGTCGATGTTATGTCTGGAGAAAGTTGTCAGTTCGGATCATGCAATAATTTCTTCTCACCAGGTCTTCACAGTTCCAGATTAATATATTACACATCTCCTATAGTGGTGACGACCTTGAAGGAGAGGAAAATAAATCATATTGGTGCATTAATAATCTTCCTCACCTATTTATATGGAGAAAGGAAAGGAAAGAAGGAAGGAAGGGAGGGAGGGAGGGAGGGAGGGAGGGAGGGAGGGAGGGAGAAAAAAAGGAAGAAAGGAAGGAAGGAAATTATTCTATCTTCCTATATATTGAAATGTCTAAGAAATTTCGGACTCCATTATCTTGTCTGCCTGCTTTGTCTTCCTCTTTTTCATTACTACTAGTTACTTATAGACTATTCCAGTGGTCCCCAACCTTTTTATCGCCGCGGCCCGCTGAGCGCGCGCAGGGGTGAGGGCACGGCCCAGGAGCTTTTGCGCACGGCCCATTGCGCACGGCCCAGGAGCCTTTGCGCTGCAGCGTTCATGTCCCCCGGCCGCTGCGCGGCCCGGTGCCAGGTACTCCACGGCCCGGCACCGGTCCGCGGACCAGGGGTTGGGGACCACTGGACTATTCCATCAAGAAACAAAAATACACATTCCTCTATAAAATAAATTAGATGAATTATACAAACAAATCCTTGGATCCATAATAAACTGAGGGGGCCTAGAAATCAAGGGAGTTAGAGGGATTGCTACAAACAGCAAAAGTATAATTAAATATTGGAACAACATCTCCTACAGCTAGCCAATCTTCAAAGGATAGGAAGACCTCAACAGAGATGCAGAATCAAGATGGGAGGAACTTAGGATAATTAGGAAGTAGTGGGCATAGAAGCCTTTATAAGGTGCGGTCAACAAGGTCCAGACAGTGGCCACCAAAGCTTGCACATAAAAGAGGTGGATCTTGACAGTTTTGACTCCCTGCTCACCTACTGTCAGCCTTACCAGGTAGATCAACTAGGAAACATGGCAAATGAGCTAATCCGATTTCACTGTAGATACTTCCATGTCTGAAAGTAAATTCTGCCACCAACATCTTGTTCTAACTCTGAGAAGAATGAAGATGACTAAAATAAGGGACAAACTTTCTACAGAATGACGTGACCCACAGCTTCCTTCCCAGGGCATCACAGAATTAGTCTCAGAATTAAATTCTGAGAGTCTAAACCAGAAAACTAGATTAAAGTGTCAGAGAGGTTTCAGATTTAGTAGAGCTACTGGATTTGTGCTGTAAAAATCAAGACAAGTACTCAACAGCCCCAGAGAGACTTTCCTCCTTCCCTTAGCTGCTACTTCATGCTTGTCCCAGACTTTTTTGTAGTCCTAAATTTACCACATCACGATTTTAACAGATCGTTTACCTTTAATATTTTTAATATTTTTCTTATGTAACCTCGTGCCATTTAATCTTTATTGCAAAAGCTTTTAAAAACTTTTGCTTAGCAACAGGTTCTTGTTTTGAATGTTTAGCAGGGATTTAAAACTGCTTCCATTTGGTTCCAGTGCTGGATTCCAAAACTGCAGCCCATAATTTGGGAATTCTACTTGTCTCCCCCCCCCCAAAAGTTATAGAATCCAGAAGCATCTCAACCACTGCTACAGGTTCTACTTCCATCACCAGCGGCTTTGTCTCTAATATCCAGCACTTCTCAGTCTAGGCAAATTGAAAATAAAATACAATTGCAATTCTTATACTATATAGCACAGATGTACTTGTAACACACTAGAACAAATACATGATAAGTGCATTTGGCCCAAATCAAAGTAAACATGCACCAATGTGGAAAGAAAGCATAACTCAATTTCAAATAACAGATATACGTGCAGCCAAATTTATCCAGTTAAATGGCAGTGAATATGAAACAGCAGCATCTATTCTTTGCTTTCATGAAATTAACACAATGAGGCAATATGAATAGTTCAGAATACTCTTGTTTTGTTCACATGAAAACACACAAGTGTAAAGCTGCATTCTTTTGAGAAAATAGTTGAAATCTACTAACTAGTGATCCAAGTGTAAATCCAAAAGATGATAGGAACAAAGAGTGACGTGGGTGAAAACTAAGTATTTGTGGTTCAGCCTTAATTCAGTCCAAATTTCATTTACCATTATTTTAGGAGTATAAGATGCACCGGAGTATAAGATGCACCTAACTTTTTTGGTGAGAAAAAGAAGAAAAAGAAATCTCCCTCAGCCTCTGAGCAATTTTGCCTCCTTGCAGCAAACAGCAAACAGCCTGCTTTACTTTCATTTTCGTTTTCAGCATAGCTTGATTAGCACAAGGGGGAAAAAAAATCTGCTCCAGCAATTTACCTCTTTGCAGCAAGTAGCAGAGCCCTGCACAAAACAGCTGAGAGCAAATCAGCTGAGAGTCGGGAGGCAGATGGAATCAACTTGTGCTAATTAGTCTGTGCTGAAGCTGAAAGGAGCTGTTTTTTCTTGCTGTTTGTTTGCAAGGAGGTAACTGCTGCGAGGCAGAGGCCAAAGGGTGAGGGCCAGTGGGTGGGCAGGGCTATATTTGGTGTATAAAACGCACCTAAATTTTCACCTCCTTTTTGGGGGAGAAGCTGCATCTTATACTCCGAAAAATACAGTATATTTTGATTTTGTGTGATTTCTTTCTTAAAAAGCAAAAAATCTATATTCATTGTGGTTTAAAAGCTTTTCTATGCATCCATAGTTTGGCATGCAACTCTCTTTGGACAACAGAAATGTGGACACATTTTCTAGTATCTATTTATTAGTATGAATTTTTGATGAGAGTGATTATGGATTCCATAATTAATAATCCTAGCCTATTTATGCCACAATGGGACAATTGAATAGATCATTCCATTTTGCTCTACTAAGATCTGTGAGGATTTTATTTTATATTCCTAGCAAGGAACATTCTTTTTTCTCTTGTTCAGTCTCTATTCCCCTCTCCCTCTCCCCATCTTTCTCTTTCTTCATCAACCATCCATCTATTCACACATGTGTAGCACACACAATCTTCCTTTCCTTGCTTCCTGCCATCTATCTACCTAATCCAGCTTTCTCCAACATGGATGTCCTCCAGGTGTATAGATTTCAGCTTCCATAATTCATAACCAAACTGTCCATCTATGCTCACTCACTCTCTTTTGTCTCTGATATAGATAAAGAGAGAGCAAGCAATAATTTAAGCTTCATCCATCCCTAATTTGGCAGAAGATACCAAGGGCTTTGAAAATAACAATACAACTTTCAGTATGTCTTCCTGCTTGCTGTTCTTAATGGATGCAATAATTCATGTGATAACATCAGTATCCAGAGGAATCTATGACTACCTCATAGGATGAAACAGTCTAAAGGACCATTTTGAAAAGAACAGTGGAGCTTTTAACTACTGCATTCAATGGCTGAATTATGCATTAACTGTCTAAAAGTCAGGAATTCTATGAAGGCCACAATTAGCACACATTTGAACCTATGCCTATTTATTAATAGAGTAGAGATTATTTCTAGGACTCAGTTTAAAAAAAACTGCTCTATTGCAAGGGATTGTTTAGCCTTCAACATAATTCATTTCCATGTGTTTGCTTTCTAGACGGATACCCTATATGTTCAGGGAGTGAAAAATTAGCATTATTGTTAAATCATTACCTCCTTTTTTTGTGTGTCGGGCTCCATGTCCTTTTTTCCGGCCTTTCTTTTTCCCACGTGCTTTCCCTTTACGATTGCCACATTTTTTGCTGCGATGTCTATGATATCGGCGGAATCTTGACATGTTTTTATCTTACATAGGTGTGGTAGATTTCTGCTCCAGGTGGAGACAGATAGCTGGCTTGGTTGGTGGTATCAATCTGCCTCTAACTTGTCTTGAAAATTCCTTGTGTCCACAGCCCAGCCATTATGACATCTAAGTGACTATCCTTCTGAAGTGCTATGTCATAATGATCATCTCAAGCTCTAGTTCTACAAAAGTGAAGACAGTTCCACAGGGCCACTAACAAGGGTCTTCAGAAATAATTTAGCCGACTTTGGAGGTACAAACTTCCTATCTTTTGTGTGTCTATATGTGTGGCTGTGATCTGCAGACAAAATCATCTAACCTGCACATTTCACAGAGGATATAATCACAAGGTGTTCTAAGAATATCTGAATTGAATATCTGCCAATGATGAAGGCCGGGAAAGCCAGGGAGTTTGCAGACCACTGCAGAGGTGACTGTGCAATGCAAGCTCTTCACACACATGCTTTGGCACTAGAGGTATGAATGAAACAAACAAACAACAAAACCAAAGTAGGCCACACAAAATTTTGCAGAATAAGACTTCCAATGGAACAAAACTTGAAGCAGCTTAAGTGTTCTGTTGGAAGCAATTCAAAGCACTTTTAATATTTGAGCCACAAGAAATTATAGGGAGAATTGTTGATTTTCGGCTCAGAATATTTGCACTTGCTTTAATATTCATAATTATAGGTTAACAGGGTTTTAGGGACCATGAAATAGTTGAAGGATGTAAAAGTGATGGGAAGTATAACCAAAATTTGGAAGCAATCTTTATATGGAGAACTATGAGTTTTTTAAACAAAGATGTGTACAAAAACACAAACTTAAATACAATAATAATTGAAAACCACCATCCCAGGTTTATGATTTTAAATGCATGAATTCATTCTCAGTTATGAACTGGGTCTGACAAAATGGAGAAACTGCTCAATATTATTATACACTGTACAAAGTTTAATGCTGGACTTTAAAAATGATTTTTAAAAAATATATATTTGTCCTTTCCTTTATTTTTTTTTCTCTTTTCACAAATATTAAGGAGAGGCAGACAGTTTTCCAATCATTCACCAGTCCCATCATTCATCCCACCATATTGCCGAATGTCTTGATTCATTTATGTTGACAAGAACATTGCAAGGCAGCATCTCATGTATTGCTATTGCCTTTTTTCCTTCCATATATTACTGTTAGAATGACACAGAAGGGGAATTTTTTTTATATAAAGATGAGGGAAGTTAGGATATGTATTGCCTGCAATTAAATTTAAAGGAATTCCCATTTGGGAGGAATGCAGATCCCACCCTAGCATTCAAAGCAATAAGGGCATTTCTCCGCCATTATGCTCATTCCTCTTAGATGCATCTGTGATTTTCTTGCAACTGAGTGAGGGTCCTCATGGTTACTCTTTGGGGTAGATCAGAAGGGCAAATGGTCCACCCACCTGGCTAGCCAGTGAGGGAGCAGACTCACTGGCATTTCACTGTCCATCTCCATCCTCATTTTCTTGTGACATTTTCGTTTGGGGCGAGGAATAAAACAATGGTCATGAAGGAGGAAAGTATACTGTACATGTTTTGAATTATGAACCATGTTGCATTATAGCTACACAATGGTCTGTTTAAGTGAACACCACCTTGAATAGTTTTAAACAGCAACTGGATAAATTGAGAGAGGACAGCTGTATCAGGGGTTATTAATGTTAAACGTTCAAAACTTGAGGGACTGTCTCATCCCACTGGGATTGGTTCATCCCACCTGTGCTGGCAGAGGAGGCATGCCATGGAATACCATCGGCCAGGGTATTCCACAGGGGTGAAATGCTCCTGGTTCGGACAGGATCGCCCGATCTGTAGCGATGGAGGCAGGTGGTTCGGAGAACCGGTAGCAAAAATCCCTGCCCCCACCCCCCATGCCCAGCTGAGCCGCACAATCATCAGAGGCTTTTTTTTTTTTTACTTTGAAAAGCATTTTTTCTACAACCTCTTTGACTGACAAAAATGCTTTTAAAAGTTAAAAAAAAAGCCTCTGATGATCGCACGGCTCAGCTGGGATCATCAAAGGCTTTTAAGAGCATTTTTTCTACAACCTCTTCAGAGGTTGTAGAAAAAATGCTTTCAAAAGGCTCTGACAATCCCAGCTGAGTTGCCTGATTGGCAGAGGCTTTTTTTCTTTTAAAAGCCTCTGCCGATCAGGCAACTCAGCTTGGATCATCAGAGGCATTTAAAAGAAAAAAAGCCTCTGCGATCAGCAACTCAGCTTGGATCATCAGAGGCATTTAAAAGAAAAAAAGCCTCTGCTGATCAGGCAACTCAACTGGGATTGTCAGAGCCTTTTGAAAGCATTTTTTTACAACCTCTTCACCAAGTGAGGTTGGCGCCAGCCCTCCAGACCTTTCACAAGAGCTTAAAGACCTAGTTCTGTCAGTTGGTTTGGGGCTCCAAAGGAGGGGTTTCACATTGGAGGTAGTTGATAGATTAATAACAAATCCTACTTCACCCCACTCATCCTCCTCGTTCCACATCTTTTAGTTAGGGCTAAGAAATTGGATCTTTTATAGTATTTTATTTATATAGTTTTATCTTTTTAATATTGTAAACTGCCAAGAATTACCCTGTGGTAAGATGGACAGCCAATAAATTAAATAAATACATACATACATACATACATACATACATACAGTACATACATATAGATACCAGAAATGGGTTTCAGCAGGTTCTGACCAGTTCTGGAGAACTGGTAGCGGAAATTTTGAGTAGTTCGGAGAACCAGTAGTAAGAATTCTGACTGGCCCCACCCCCATATATTCTCTGCCTCCCAAGTCCCAGCTGATTGGGAGGAAACGGGGATTTTGCAGTAACCTTCCCCTGGATTGGGGTGGGAATGGAGATTTTACAGAATCCTTTCCCTGCCATGCCCACCAAGCCACGCCCACAGAACCAATAGTAAAAAAAAATTGAAACCCACCACTGATACATACATACATACATACATACATAAAGTACATACATACCAGGGTGAAATCCAGCAGGTTCTGACAGGTTCTGGAGAACTGGTAGCAGAAATTTTGAGTAGTTTGGAGAACTGGCAAATACCACCTCTGGCTGGCCCCAGAGTGGGGTGGGAATGGAGATTTTGCAATATCCTTCCCCAGGAGTGGGGAGGGAATGGGGATTTTGCAGTATCCTTCCCTGGAGTGGAGTGGGAATGCAGATTTTGCAGTATCCTTCCCCTGCCACGCCCACCAAGCCACACCAAGCCCACCAAGCCATGCCCACAGAACCGGTAGTAAAAAAATTTGAATTTCACCACTGATACATAAATTTAATTGGATATAATGCCACTCAACACCTGTTTCTACTCCCAAAGACTTCTGGTTGGCCATTGCCAGAAAAGTGTTTGTGTTGCAATATTTTCAGGATCAGACTCAATAAGATTAGCAAGAGTTAAAGATTTAACTATATATTCTTTTATTTACAATAGGCATTCTATATTCACTGAATATTCACAGATAGAAGAAAGGGAAAGGGTGTAGGTAGCTCCTTATATATACAATGGGTGGAGCTATATGTGGGAGTGGTGAATTATGAATACATTAAGAAGTGAAGAATAAGTTAACCCTGATACCCTGTTTGTACACTATTTACACATTAGAGAATAAGGCATTTACATCTGACAAATCCCCCTCTAAATGCCGATTCGTTATACAACACCAGTTACACTCAGATTCAGGACAATACAAAACATACAACTTAGAGGTTAAATATTTGTGCTGCTTAGAAGGTAAAGGCTTTGTCAATATATCAGCTAATTGTTCTGAAGTGTCGCAATGCACTGCTTTAATAAATCCATCCTGAGATAATTGTCTCACATGTTTAAATTTTATATCTATATGTCTGGACCTTTGTCCAATGGCATCAGATCTAGATATTTCAATGGCTGCTTTATTGTCTTCATGCATAACAAAAGGCAAAGCAGGTTTTTTCCAGACATCTGAAATTAAATCATTAAACCATACAAGGTTATTTGCGGCTTTGGATAAACAAACATATTCCGCTTCTGTCGTTGAAGTGGCCACTAGTTCTTGTTTACCAGTGTACCAGTAAACTGGACAGTCATTTAAGAGAAATACATAACCAGATGTACTTTTTCTGCATGAGATGTCTCCAGCCCAATCTGCATCTGCATAACACGTAAGCTTTGGTTCTTTATTATCATTAGGTTCTAACATTAAACAAAAGTCTAGTGTACTTTTTAGATATCTTAAAATTCTTTTAACAGCTTCCCAGTGATACATTGTTGGTTTGCTGACATGCCTGGATAATAAATTGAGTGGTAAAGCGATATCTGGTCTAGTCCAATTAGATATATAAAGGAGTGAACCTATGATTGATCTATAAAATGTGTTGTCCTTGAATTCGGGAGAAGATTCATCAGTATTTCTTAGAAAGTCAGTTTGCATAGGAGTATCACAAGGTTTGGCATTGTTTAAGTTGCATTTATTTAAAAGTTCTATGATCTTATCTCTCTGGGTAAGTTTGAATCCCCTTTTTGTCTTATTAATTTGGACACCAAGGTGTTTGTTTACCTTGCCTAAAGATTTCAACGAGAAATGCTCATTTAATTTAGTTACAAAAGTTTCTCTTCTCTCTTTATGTTTTCCTATGTATAAAATGTCATCCACATAAATCAATACAAATTCAATGTAATCATCACCCCTCTTGACAAAGAAACAATTATCAGCAGTGGTAGCGTTGAAGTCCATGGTCTTAAGTACTTTTACTAAACAATCATACCACCGTTTACCAGATTGTTTTAGCCCATATAAACTCTTGTTTAACAACCAAGTCTCATTTCTGTTTGTGTATTGACTGTGAGGTGCTCTTACGTATATTTCTTTATCTAGTTTTGCGTGTAGGTACGCAGTCTGTATGTCATATTGGAATACATCAAGATTGAGTGCTGATGCTACCACTAGAGCTGTTTTGACACTCTCTGTTCTTACAGTGGGGGAATACGTGTCAGTATAGTCCTCCGGATATTTCTGTGCATAACCCTGTGCAACTAATCTAGCTTTGTATAGAGTATTTCCTCCCTCTAAATTCTTAATTTTATATATCCACCTGGTACCAATAATTGTCTTATCTTTAGGTGCAATTGCAGGTGTAAATACATTTAATCCTTGTAAACTTTCCATCTCTTTCTTCATTGCTAATTCCCATTTTTCTTTTTCTTCGCGAGGAAGTTTTAACACTTCCTCATATGTATTGGGTGTTGTTAGTTCACCATCCATATGCATTACATAATC